TTTCTCGCTCTGTCTCTTTATACACACACACACACATGCACGCATGCACACACATGCATGTAGACACATGCACATATATCTGCACTCCGTTTTCTCGGTGCCTGTCCTGTGGGCATCTGGCAGTGTGGGGCCCGGGGCTCCGGCCTTAACCAGGGCCTCAGACAAGAAGCTGTTTGCAGTGAAGCGCAAGGACCAGATGAAGGCGCTGAAGAACCTTGTTGAGCTGAATGACATCCACCAGCAGTACAAGATTATCGATGTCATGCTCAAGGGCCTCTTCAAGGTGAGCCCCCAGATCTCCGCCGGCCGCGGGTCTGGGAGCGCCCCGCCCCGTCGGGCCCAGGGAGTAGCTGGGGAATTAGCGGGAGAAGGTTTTGAAGGTGCAAGCTCACAGGACGGTGACTTTGTTATTATTGTCCCCATCTAATGGATGAGGAAACTGAGGCCCGAGAGGGAAGGGGCTTGCCTAGGGAGTCCTCTGGGGGGTCCTCTGACTCTAAGCAGCCCTGCTTCCTTCGGGACAGGCTCAGCGTCAGGACTGAAACCCCCCTTAGTTCAGTTATTGGGCACGTCCTCTTTGCCAGGAATTGTGCCCTCAAGGAGCTTGGGTTGGGGGTGGGAGCAGGGAGCACCTGGTGTAGGAGGTGGCCCCTCAGCTGGGCCTGGCAGGAAGCCAGGAGGAGGTGAGGCCCAGGTGAGTGGGGAGAGCCTTCCGGGCCCAGGGCAAGCTGGTCCTTCACGGAATGGCAGAAAGCTCAGTTCTGCTGATGTGTCCCGTCCGTGATAGGAGGGCGGTTGGGAAAGCAGCCTGGAAGGGCAGGATCTCAGTGGCCGGCCCATGCTGAGCTCTGCCTCTTCCTCGAGGCTGGCGGCTGGTGGGGCCAAGCTCCTTTGCTCCACTGGGGGTGTCCTGGGTGGTGCTCCCACCTTGGGGTAAGGTGACGGTCCTCCCTGAGCCCCCAGTGCTTCCTCTCTTCCAAATTACATACACAAGGGCTGGGGCTTGTGGAACAGTGTAATTTTTCCTGGCAGACTCCACGGCTCTTTTGGCATTTCTGCCTGTTACCTTTTACCCGTGACCTTAAAACCTACCAAAATGAGAGCTGTGATTGTCATCTGTGCTCCGAGTTCGAATCCATCCCCCCTGCTCCAGGGGCTACCATCCTGGAGAGCCTGGGCAGGGTGGGTCACCCTCCGGCTCTGGTTGCCACTCCGCAGCCTGCTTCCCCTACTGGGGTGGGGGTGGGGTGCCCAGAGGATTGGGGGTGGAGGGGAGTACCTGAGCCCCCCACACGTGGCCTGCTCTGGCTTCTTCACTGACACACAAGAAGCCTCGGGGTGTTACATTCAGGTGGAGAGGGAGACACAGTCCTGGATCCTGAGGACCTGCGTTCAGATTCTGCCTCTGAAGCCTACTGTCTATATGGCTCTGGGCAAATCATTCGGTTTCTGAGCCTCAGTTTCCTCCTTTGTAAAATGAGGGGGTTGGAGCCAGTGGCCCCCGCGTCCCCTTCCAGGCCTAGGTCTGTGTCCCCTCTACTAGAGCCCGGACCTCAGAAGAGGGGTCTGGGGCAGCAGCAGGAAGCTGGGGGTGCTTACAGAATCCCGGCCCCTACACAAGGTTCTTCTAGGGGGCCCGCGCTCCCTCCGCCGCCCAAGTCCTTGAGCGTTGGCCAAGATGAGGTCGTTCCTGTTGGCCACGTGGGTTTGTTTCCATGGCTTTATAAAGCTCCTACTGTGTGCCATGCACTGTGCTGAGTGCGGGGGATAAAAAGAAAGGCAGGAACAGGGACGCTGCCCTCACAGAGCTGACATTTCTCCTCCAGGAGGGGCAGTGACTGGGTGAGGCTGGGCTGGGGTAAGCCGTAGTTGGGGTGTCCAGGCGGGGTTGGAGGTGGCTAATCTTCCCCCTTGGAGAACAGACTCCTCCTCTCTCTCCCCCTCCTCTCCCTCCTCCCCCCTTCCTCCCCTTTCCCTAACCCCCCTCGCACATGTCTCCTAGGTGCTGGAAGACTCCCGGGCTGCCCTGCTGGCAGCTGACGTCTTCCCCGACGGGCCCTTCCCAGACGATGAGAAGCTGAAGGACGGTAGGAAGTGCCTGGGCCCCTGCACCCTCTGCGTCTCCTTGCTCACGCCTAGTCTGGGCATCGGCTGCGGGTCATAGGAGAAAGAGGGAGACTGAGGCTCTGGGCCTGGCTCTGCTTTGTGCCACCCCTGAGACCCCGGGCAAGTTATTGTGGTGACATAGAAATCTGGAGTCCGATTCCAGCTCTGACGCTTATTAGCTGGATGACTTTGACCTCTGTTTGCCTCCATTTCCTCATCTGTAAAATGGGAACGATAACAGCACCGACTGCACAGGGTTGTTGTAAGTGCCAAGTGAGATAAGATACTATTATTGCTACAGAAATACAGAATCTGGAGTCTGAGAATCTGAGCCCTCCTGGGAACTTGGGCAAGTCCCTTGGCTTCTCTGGGCCTCGGTTTCCTTTTCTGTCAAACAAGGGGGTTGGACTCCATGGGCTCTGTGGCCTGCCTGTCCGTGGTTCTTGGAGAGTCATGCCTGCTGGCATTAGAACGAGGCTTTCTGACCCCAAATCTAGCGATTTTACCACTTCCCATTCCCCATCCTGCCTCCCTCAGCTAGGATTAACACCTTTGGATAACACCCTTCCCCTGCTGCCCTGCTTTAAGGTGTAAAAGGTGTGGACGCATGTAGCTGGTAAGGCTGTAGGAGCCTGGCAAAGACAGACAGCGGGCCTGCAGCCACCTCTGTGAGGACTCTTGGCTCGGGTCCCATTCTCAGCTTCTTGGGTGTGAAGGTCTTGTGGGGTCAGAGCAGCAGCAGGCCCCCTCCCCCACAAGCTGGCTGGATGCTGCACCGGCTGGAGGGAAGAGCACAGAGTTACAGGAACAGGGTCTGTGTGAATGAAGCGGGTCGCGTTTCCCTGATCCCCAGTTTCCAGCCTCCTTTGGTGACTCTGTTCCTCCTTCATTTTACAACCTTGTTTTTCCGGACTTTTCCCTCTTTTAACCTTGTTTTCCTAGGTCCTCGTACTAAGTTAAATGTCCTATAAATAGCAATTAGGCTTTTTGTTAAATTTGGGTTCGTTATTAAAAATTGACTTTCTCTCCCTGCCCCTATTCGGGGGAAAAAAAAATACTGTAAATCCTTGTAACAGGTGGCATGGTCAGACGAAACAAACTCCTGCATTGGCCACGTCCGGAAGGATCGGGTTTATTCTGTCCCTCGGTCCCTCCCCCCTTCGTCTTCCTGGGTCTTTTGGAATGGTGGCTGTTGGTTGACCTGATCTGAGTCTCCATTTCTTGTTATTGTTACTGTATAACTTCTTGTGCTTCTGTTCTCCTCACTCTGCATCAGTGATGTAAGCCCTCTAGATTTCTCCAAATCTATGTTTCATCATTTCTTACGGTACAATGTTCCATAATACTCATGTGCTGTAATCTGTTTATTCATTCCCTAACGGATGGGCATCCCTTCAGTTACTAGGTCTTCGCTCTACAAACAGAGCTGTACCCACATGGACAAAAAAGAAAATAGAGATATATTTGTACACGTGTCCTTTTCTTCTTTCTTTAATTAATCTCTTGGGGGTGTGTGCCTAGTAGTGGTACCCTAGGGTCAATGGGTGTATATATAGTTGAATTAATTTTGAGTCATGGTTCCAAATTGCTTCCCAGAATGGCTGGATTGATTCACAGCTCCACTAGTAGTGCATTAATATGCCTGTTTCTCCTACATTCCCTCCAACTAATCTTATGGATATGAAATGCAACCTCAGAGTTGCTTTAATTTGCGTTTCCACATTTTAAAAATGTGGCTATATATAGTTTTGATTTCTTCCCTTGAGAACTTACACCATTTCTCAAATGGGGAATAGCTCTTATTCTTATACATGTGAATCTGTTCCCCATGTACCTTGGAAATAATATTAGACTGTAAGCTCCTTGAGGGCAGAGGCTATCTTTTGTCTTAAGCCCCAGTGCTTAACACAGTACTCATTTTATCTTCTGTCCTCCTATTTGGTGTTTGGTTGTGATTTCTTCTTGCTATCCTTAGATCAAAAAGTGAATTTCTTCCTTGCTACCGCTGATTTGTTTAAAATGTCACCCCTTTGTGTTTTCATTTGGGACTTCCTTTGGGATGTGGTGGGAGATGTTTAGTCTGTACCTAGTTTCTGCCAGATGACTTTCCAGTTTTTGTCAAATAATGAGCTCTTCCTCAGGAGGGGGTTGTCAGACACTGCCCCTTTGCTTCTGTATATTGAATGAATGAGTGATTTGTTAATGGCTTCCTGTGTGCCTAGCACTGTGCTCAATGTTGGGGATATAGATACAGAGCATCTTGGATGCTTTGGAGGAACTCCTGTTCTAATGATGGAGATGTGTGTGTGTGTGTGTGTGTGTGTGTGTGTGT